TTATCCTGATATGAGAAGGTCTTTCACAGCTTGCAACAATTCTGAACGATCCTACCGTGGTTCCTCGTGGCTTTCACAGCGTTCACATGTCAGCAATCATCTGGAGCTGTGTGGGAGCGCAGCAGCTCCTTCTTCCGTCCGAGATCCTCTGATTCATTAATTGGAGCGTTTTTTTTTTAACAAGTGAAGCAGCGATCGCTCATCAAAAAAGGCCACTCATGGAGGTAAGCAGTCAGAGTTCCCAACGCGTGTTGTGGTGAAGGATGAGGTCCACCATGACGTAATTTGTAATGCTTTATTTCTTTACACAACGTTAAAATGTTCTTTTACGAAGGCCTATCTAAAATCTTGGTTAAAACATAACAATCACGCACATGCTCAGACACGGTCAACACGGTTGGAAAACGTGTGGCTTCCTCTCTAACCTCTCATCTCAACTGATCACATGTGCCCACATATATAGCTTAATTACCTCCCATGCTCCCAGGTGCGCAGATTGGATGATGACGCGTTCACACACACACAGACAAACCCCGTGCACAACCCAAAGCAAATTGGCTTCAACAGTACCCATACTAATGAAACGGAGGAATCGTAACGTTTTTAACGGCAGGGTATCGTGGTACCTTTCAAGTATCGGTACACCGTGCAACACTAAAACATAGCAGAAAGAAGTGAAAGCTGTAATGTATATTATTGCTTTGAAAATATGGTAGGCGTTTAAGGTGAATTTAAATGTTTCTAGTTCTTGACATTTTTGTGAATGAAAGAAAAGAGAAATTCTGATTTTACCTGATGAGCCATAAATACAAGACTGTCATCTGCATATGTTACCGGTCTGGTTTGACACCACATGTGATCTCTGCGTTGTGTTGTGTGAATGCAAACAACTTCTTTCTTGCCAACCAGGATTTATTCTCTGTGCAAAACAGAATATAATAATTAAAGCAGGAAATGGCTTCATCAGCTTTCTAACTTCACACTTCTCCTCAGTGGGGCCTGAACCTAACTCAGGAAAGTATACAAAGTTCTAAATAATACAATTAACAGATATACATTTATCCATGTTGGCAAACTGGTTTTTCTTTGTAAATTAATATATACAAATATAACCATTAATGTACAGTTACAATACAATTTACAGTTACAAAACACAAAAATAATACCCACATACCTGTGCAAAACAGAATATAATAATTAAAGCAGGAAATGGCTTCATCAGCTTTCTAAATTAACACCTTCAGTCGAAGAAGACACCCACATGTTAGGTTAGCATATAGCTAAACTTTAGAAAGCTCCAAAACACTGTTTGAAGCGCTGCACATTATATAAACTGCAAATGGGTTTGGCTTGTGTGAAGTGTAACATTAAACAATCTATTAACATATAAAATACAACATTTATGACACCACTCGTTCCACTTAGTTCTCCTCAGTGGGGCCTGAAGCTAACTGAGGAAAGTAGCGCCCGCGAGTCTGGAGAAATGTGCCGGTGCCAAGAGTAACAAAATAAAACGTACTTTTCAAAATAAAAGCATCTAAAAAATAAAGTGACAAGTTTTACAAAGAAAGTATGGACAAAAATGATTTTACTGAAATATAAACAAGTGAAGTTATACATTGGTTACACATAGTCAGTGTGTTACCTACAGAGGGTGCAGAAATAGACAATATCAGCACTGCTATAGCTAAGCAAAACGTATATCAAGACATATAAAAGAAAGACCAACTTAAAAGTAATTCAAGCTTCATTGTACGTGTCTATATTTAGAATATTGTGAGTGATTGACGTTGTTTTCAGAGAGCCCTTTCTTCAAATCCACCAGACTCCTTTGACAAAAACAGTCATTTTGACCTCAAAGAGTACACTGTTGTTACCCTGCCTTCCTTAGTTAGTTTCCTTTTGATATTTGGTGAATACTTGTTGGATATTTGGCCTAAGGCTTTCAAGCCCAAAGAACAAGTCTTTATTTTTGATACTAGTCTTGTGAACCAATGCTTTTTATTTTAACATTTTTATATGAAAATGTACATTGTGTTGTTTGCACTTAAAAAGAATAGCAATCGAGACAGAAGGCGATAACGCTGATCACATCGCTTCATTATGAGCAATCAGAACGTTCTCCATGTGGTCTAACGCAGGAATTAAATAGCAAAGAGTACAGCAGCAGGTGATATCTGCTCTACATGAAGTCCAATGTGAACAAAGTGAGAAATAATAATAATACAGAAGGTGTGAGGAAGTGACTCTAGATCCCATATTTAATCTTCAGGTCCTCCACCAATTCGACATATGCCACCTTCGCCTCGTCTTTGCCCAAGCCTGTTGTTTAAAAAAGGAAATAAGCAAACCGTGTGACAGTAGAATAAATATCAGTTTTTCCAATGACTCTTTCATGGTTTTCTTTGAAGTTCTTTAATGCTGTGTGAAGATCTTACCTTTTCTTCGTTCCCATGAATCCCATTTCCCCCGTCCTGGGAGGTCAAATATCGACGGACGACCTGAAAGAAAGTAAATTCATTAAATAACTGAAAGAAAAATGTACTTCAAGTATCAACAGTAAAAGTACTCAGTGCAGAAAAATCACCCACATGAAATAATCATTATCACATAGTTCAATAAAATAAAAATCGACTTTTCTCAAACACGTATATAGGCTTAACAATTGTATTTAAACTTTAATGTAATAACACAAGTTGCCCTTAATGCCCTTTAACTCCTTGACCTAATAGTTCAAAATGCATGGTATTTAAAAAATGTGCAGATAGTGGTTTGGGGTTTTAGTTCCTAGCTGAACAAGTTGAAATAAAAGTTCTTTCTACTAACACATAATACTTTTTTCTCACACACTTGTTCATATGCTTGTTACTAAGCACTTCAGTTGCATATGTATAACATGTGTGTGCCGTGGTGCTGGTCAAAAATTTAAAAAACTCTCAATTAACAACTTTCTATCAGTTTTGGCATCTTTCACAGAAAGACACCCAACTTGTCCGACCTGATTCTAGTCTCACCGCGCCCTGCAGGTATCTGCCCGCTGCTGGGTAACTCTGAGCACATCAGTCTTTCTTTGGGGTTTCCAGATTCATTCTACGATGTTAGAAACCTTACACACACCTATGTTAACATCCCCGACTGTGGCTTGTTTATATAAACCGTAAATCTCCCCCAGGTCGCCGTAGCCTGGTCTCTGTTTCAGATTCTTCACCTCCTCTACGGCTTTTTCAAAGGACTCCTGGAAGGGGAGAAAACACAGAAACTCAAACTCTCATATTTAAAATAAACATCTATGATATAGCTTTAAAAACAACAGAAACTTCCCTGTGGATAACACAACTTAACGGTACAGTAAATCCTTTGTGTCCCATCGTAGTAACGGCTTAAAGTGAGAGAGTACTTACATTCATGACTGCTGTGTGAAAGTGACAGCTTTCTGCTGCTCCTTCACTCTGCTGGTTCAACAAGTCCTGAAAGCAGCTCATCAAGTCAGGGAGGGGCTTTCTTAAAGACACAGAGAGTAAACACAGCAGGAGAATAACGGCTAATAAAAGGAAGGAAAAGTATTCTTTGAGGTCCGTTTTTTATCATAGTTTGTTAAACATTATATTTTTTAATCTAAATATGTGATACTCAATGTGATACTAGGCTACCTATAATTAATATAGGTTGTTAAAGTAATATTCAAACAGACAAATGCAGGTGACAGATAACAGCGGGAGTTCCCAGTTGCAATACAAAATATATATATTTATAATTAAAGCTCAAGCCTGACAAAGAAAATCTAATATTTTGGAGAATGTAAAAACGTCTGTGACCAGATTTAATCCCTTTTTAAGAAACACCTGTTGTCTAATGTTTCATAAGAGTTATCAAATTGTTTAAACGGTACAGAATAAAATACAAATATCACTTTTAAGTCTTTTTTTTCTCCTAAATACACATTTATGTCAAAGGAAATGTTTCTAGCTTTGGGAGAAGAGGGGAAGTTTCTCCGCCACAAGATGGCAGCGTCCACTTATTTAATGATTCAAAGTCTATGTCAGATTGACCTGATCTAGTGTTTTGGGCGGTGGTGGGGAAGTCCATTGGGAATTGGGTTGGCCACTTGAAGGTCACCAGTTCAAGTCCTGCTGCTAAAACAAAAAGCCTTTTAGTGGATTTTCTATATCAGTCGTATCTTTAAACAGTATTTGAAAGATTAGATGTTTTTAAATTTCACTTCAACCTTTCACTCAATTAAGAACTCTTCACATGAAGCATCTACAAATGAATCTCCCATATTTAAAACATAAATACAAAAGTGAAACAACATTTTGTAGAAAAAAGTATTTATTCTATGTTCTAGAAATGTCGATTTGAATTATTTACATTCACACTTATAAAAACGTACATTTCAGTTCACTACCATGGAGACATTTTAACTTAGATTCAGAAAACATGTAACACAGAATCATCTTTGGCTAGAACACTAATAAAATATAAACTCTAAGAATAAAAAAAGCCGAACAAACCAAAGCAGAAAACTGATTTCAATGAAACTGTAAAAAGGTTTGGCAACAGCCTTTCCAAATTTTAGGACGATTGTGTTATGATTGGTGTTTATCAGCAGGTCAGTTCAACACGTTAAATAAAGACAGAAACACATGTAATATGCACATCAGTGGAGGTGTGTGAGCACTTTCTGTACTCGACAAAGCAAACCAACGAGGCGCTTCAGTTTCCAGTTGGCCGAGAGAATCAGAAAACATTACCTGAGTAAGAGACTGAAGAAACATTCTGAAAAGAAGGGGTGGCTTTTGTGTAACAATGATAATATGATCAGTTCTGGACGCACATTATCCATCAGTGAAGTCACACACTTCTAGAGTTAGTCGACCGTAACCATGACACATAACGCTTTCTCTGCAGAGACCACTTTGCACATTTCAAAAGGCACTATGCAGCTTTTTCTGCAACCAACCAGGTGTTCATGAGGCTCAGGCCTCATCCAAACCACAATCCTTTCCCAACAGTCCCACAAAGTTTAAATACATATATTATCTAATTCTCAATGATGTCCTAACGAAAGGAAACATTGATGTCACATCGAAAAAACATCGTAACAGTGTTGGGACAAACGTCTTTGCAGCAGTGTTGAAGTGTTGAAGTGTAAAGAGAAAAGGTAAGAGGAGGTCTACTTCTGATGATCAGATGATTTCAAAGACTCTTACAAAGTCCTGTTGCTCTGCTTGAGCCGTAAAGCCTTCAGCAGTCCATCAGAAGTATAACAGAGACTGTTTTGCATAAGTGAAATGTGTGCTGCTCTTCTACTCTGTGTTGAAGCTTAACACAAAACAATAAATGAAGGCTAAATACTCATTAGTGACGATGCATCGTGCAATAAGTTTGATTACCAAAGCTCTACTTCTATCTTCATCAGGACCTATCAGGTTGTTAAAAAGAAGCTCACACATCCCTGAAATCTCTCAGTGAGCCAGAGAGGAGCCTCCCCTATGACTCTTTGACCTCCTGAGTCCACACATACTGCTTGTACACCCTTTAGTCTCTGCTACAGTGTCTGGGTCTCTCTCACACGTTGCTGACGTCGTCCAGCCTGTTGCGGCAGTTGTCTTCGGGCAGTCTGAAGCGGATGTGTCGTGTTTTCTCCCAGCCGCGGCGGATCTGTTGGAGGCGCCGGGCCACGCAGGGCACGCAGAGAGCCAGGCGGCCCAGCAGAGCCACGCAGGGCAGAACCAGAACCAGCATGAAGGTGGGCGGCAGCAGGAAGCGGTACTGGGACGGGTCGAAGGCTCTGCCCCAGCCGAAGAGCAGAGTGTGGATGGTGGCCATGGACAGGGCGCAGTAACCCACTGTGGACTGCAGGGGGGAGACAATGTTAAAGAGGTTCAGAGTGCACATCTACATAAACTTAATATCTTTCGCACAAAAGAAAGAAAACACAGCGACTAAAGCATGCAAGGAACAATAACCTACAAACCCAGACAGACCGGGTTCAATTATGGACAAAACATTGTTCACCTTTAATGTAAAAATCAAATACAATGATGATAATAAAACTGATATTTCCCTTTTAAGTGACTTATTATACCAGTTCATCAAATTAACTCATGTCTCACAGGCTGCTGCGGACCCCGAGGAAACACACCACCCATGACCTGAGTAAACCCCACTGGAGGGGTGTGTGTGTGTGTGTGTGTGTGTGTGTGTGTGTGTGTGTGTGTGTGTGTGTGTGTGTGTGTGTCAAGTGTCTGTCAATCTTCACCCATCATTGTGTATTAATCCCATCCGTCTGTTTGCAGCTGAATGTTTTTTTCAAGTGGTCTTTTTTTAGCTATACATCTATTGTGCATGTATTCATCACCATGTCTACAGTGCAGCTACCGTGCACATGACAATGAAGCCTTTGAACCTCAGGGACAGCTATAGCATTCTCCTTCCTGTTTGTGCGTACCTGTATGAAGGTGAACTCCCTCCAGTTGACAGAGTTGGCGACGGAGGGCAGCGAGGTGACGGCCAGCAGAGAGAGCAGTCCGAGCGCCATGATGCCCGCGGAGACGTACAGCTCCATCCTCCACACCTCCTCCTCCACCCACACCTCGTCCCCCTCCTTCATCTGGACACCACAGGACAGACAGCACTCTTCATCTCTAATTAACTCACCCGATGTGCTGCAGCTAGTTCTAAATGTAGTCAATGATTATATAGCAAACGTCCAGTTCAACAAATGCCACTTCTGCCAAGTCTAATTCAGTTTATAATATATATCATTTTTATGCTGTTACTAAAGTGTGTTATTAAATTAGTTAGCTTTTAGCATTTCGTACCTGCTTTGCTAATTTTGCTGTAACGCTAATGAAGGAATTAAAGATAAATAAATAATTGTTTTTAATGTATTTATCTATTTACTTAGAAAGCACTTTAAAGCCTCCAGACAAAGTGCTGTGCCTGGATCCCTCTCACCTGTCTAACAGCGAGGAGCAGTTTAAAGCGAGCAGACTTCCTCATGGGGAGGCTCAGACTGTAGATGGCGTGTAAAGCTGCACACAGGAAGCTGCACAGTCCAAACTGCTTCCTGCTCGTCAGCCAGCGGTCCAGCCAATTAGGGAAGCGGTTGTATTTGGTGCCGGACCACAGCTGGAAGAAGGCGGCACACAGACCAGGCAGGTAAACCAGCGCCAACATCACCAAGGCCACGGAGGGCAGAGTGACGTTCACCGTCTCGATGGGCATTTTGTAGAAGACGCTCTTCCCCGCCGTGACGTAGGGCTGCAGGACGTCCCGCAGGAAGTTGTACAGGTAGAAGAGGATGAAGAGGAACAGGGTGCAGAGGATGGGGATGCGCCAGGAAGGGAATAAAGACAGGGGGAGGTTTTCAATCTCCAGAGAAGAGGAGAGGAGGCCCATATCGACCGGGACGAAGCCCATCCTGCGACAGAGCTGCATCACGGAGCTCTTGGCCGTGCTGCTGTTACTGCACAGGAAGATCTGCAGGGAACAGGTTGAGAGATGTAGTCACAAGACGTGTCTCCATGAATGCTGCTTCCCTGGACATCTTCAAGTCATCATTAAAAACTCATCACCGTCCCCCTGCTTCCACCCCTACTTCATTTCATTTTGATTTGTTTTGCCCTTTTGTTTGTCTGATTGTTTGTTTGTTTGTTCACCATGTAAAGTGGCCTTGGGTCCCTTGAAAGGCACAATACAAATGTCATCGATTATCATTATTAATGTGAACTATGAGCAGATGTTTCCTACCTGTCTGCTTGCATCCCTGGGGGGAGAAGTTAGAAATATGACTGAATACCTTCAAGCACTCTTTGATCTGCTTTATTGTGATGCACTGTTGGAGGAGCCTGGGACCTAAGATGTTCATCAACATAACTCCACTGTAGCTATGTACCAATGACAATTAAACAATTCATCTTGAGTCTCCATGAATGCATACTCTGAGCAGATGTTTCCCACCTGTCTGCTTGCATCTCGAGGTCCTCTCTGCAGCGCCCAGGCCGATATGGTGTTGAACCCTTTGACCACATCGCTCTCTGGAAACATGTCGGCCAGCTGCTCGGCGTTGGAAGGCCCGTCGTGGTTGATTCTCAAACCGTTGCTCACGTCCACCAGCGTCTTTCCAGCCAGCGAGGGCTTCAGCTCCAGCAGCGTGGAGTGATGCTCGGGGAAAACAGCCACAAACACCAGGGCTGCCTGACTGGCTGCCTCCACCTGAGAGGTCACCTGGAAGAGGAACAGAGGAACGGTTCAACTTGACAATCATAGGAAGTTGCATCATAAAGAAATAATCCAAAACCATAATCCATTTTGTCAAGATGAATCAATTTGTTTGTTCCTCCATACATCTCTCCTTCTCAGTGTGTCTGCTGTGTTTGTGGTTCAACTTGTTTAGCTTTCCCCGTCTAACAACAACCCCTTCCCCATAAACACACATAATATAGCAAATAGGAGACCAACAAATATATTCGGGGGCGTAAACAACTAAGCTGAGTAGATAAATATTCAACAAATAATATCTGTAGGCCATGTATACTAATAAAACATGTTAAACAATTCAAATAAAAACAAAACTTATATGATAAACTCAGTTAAATGGCTCCTACAATGCCTGCACCTTATAAGAAACAAAGTTCACTTATAAGAGTCCTTGTGGTTTTCGCGATGACATACACTGACAATGCAAAGGTGTGTAACTCTGTTCCCAAACCACAACTGGGATTATCTGCTAAGCATCTCTTCATCATAATAGCAGCTGTTATTATGCCTTGCGGGTAGAGTTAGTGAGTAAACATATAATTAGCACCTTAGGACGGGACCAACAACACTCATTACATGGTGAGTGTGGGTGTGTGTCAGAGTGTGTGTGTCACCTCGGCCTCTTCGGGGAACAAAGCCTCAGAGCGCTTGGGGTTTCGACTCCCCACCACCACCTGGTATCCGGAGGACACCAGCCTCCTGGCCAGCGAGCGGGAGAAGTCGCCCGTTCCCATGATGCCGATCACCGGAGAGTCAGACACGGAGGCTTCCAGATGTCTCGAGCCTCCTGCTTCACCTCTGTCGCGGATTAAAGGCCTCGCCATGTCATCAGGCATAATGCGCTGATGAATCTGTGGAGAGGACACATGGAGATGGTTCATTTACACTCAGATGACCTCGACTGAATGCACAGTCAGACATAGAGAGGAGGATAAAACACTTTCAATTAGGCATTAAGATGTTGATTGTAAGGTCTAAAAAAAGGCTGTTTTAAATGGTGTACTTTTACTCCACTACATTTACTTAACACCTTTAGTTTCTTTACAGATGTGGATGAATGATGTGAAATATAATCAAGTGTTAAATCAGACTTTAGTTCCACCTGGAGTAAATCCACAAGCTACCCTGCAGTATACAAAGTCATTCAGACTAGCTGCACCTTTACCAGCTTTGAGAACACTTTCATGATCAATCATTATAAAACATATCATATATATTATTCTGAAATGGACCAATCTGCACAATGACTACTTTTACTGTCGCTACTTTCACTATATTTGGATGAGAATACTTTTCTACTTTTACTTGAGGAACATTTTGAATGCAGGACTTTTACTGTAACAGAGTATTCCTACACTCTGGTACTTTTACTCAAGTACAACAAGACCTGAGTACTTCTACTTTTACTGAAGTACAAGCTCTACTTCTTCCACCTCTGATTATAATATCAAAACATTACTAGCAAGCCTGCCATAAATGCAAAACTTAATCCACGAACTCCACTGTTCTGAAGATACAAAAGTCGTTACACATACATAAACAATAGCAGTCTAAATAATGAGTAAAAACGTCCTTTTTTATATCAAATACTGATTTGGTTATAATGCAAATGTATGCCGAATTAACCAGACAACCTAAATTATTCAGAAGAGGTTTCAATAAATGTTATAGGACGCATTAAAGCCGATAAGAAATTAAATTGCAGGAAATGTATATTGGCTTTCACAACAAAACCGAAAAAGTGGCTTGTTGTCCTTGACTGAACTCGTGGTAACTTTAAAGTTCCTCTCTCTAACAAACTAAGCAACACAGGCACATATAAGCGAAAATTCGAATAAATAAGTGTTTTAAATGGTTTAAGTTAGTCCCTGTTAGTAGTTAAAGCGATATTTTGTACCTACTTTCAGGTACTTGGTCACCCTCTGCTCCGCTCTCTGCGAACTGAGCGGTTCTTCCTGATAAGATGACGCACCAGCAGAAGCCCCGCCCCCTCCACGCCCCCCATGTGTGAGCAGAAGATAAAAGTGAGTGAGCTGCCTGCACACATGTACCAACACAATACATATGATAAGAAATCCTCCCAGAAGACACATAATAGACCGTTAACATTACAAGAAAACTGAAAAATGCTGCACTTTTTAATATGGTATTTATTGCAGATGAATGATTTGTATACGTTCTTTTGCACATTTCGGCCAAATACTACCACTTTAAAACTGTAGCTAGTCCACTTCAAATTCAGATATATTTTTCATACTTGTTTCCCCTTTATTTGCAATATTTTTATATATATTTGGTTTGTAAATCTTTGTTTCTTGTACACATTTTCATTACTTTTCTCTATATATCAATTTATATACTGTGTTAATATGGCTTTATATAATGGTGGATAGCTTTTGGACTGTACATATACCACAAGCACAATCTATATTAAATATGCCCTTGAGAAAACTAAATGGCACACCAAAAAACGGACATAATAGAGAAGAGTAGAGACACTAAATAATATTCATTAGGTCTAAATAGAGGCAGACTTTTAATAGTAGTCCCTCGCTTGACTCCATCTGCTGCTGTCAGTGTATTTGATTAACTGGCCCTAGGATTAAGAGAGAAAAGCCAAAGCAAAATTGTGTTAAAAAAGAAACGCCTGACCGCAGGTTACACACTGTCAACATGACTTCATCACGTCTGCCTTTGCCACTTGCAAAAGGTTGAAGCCCTCTGGCTCACAGCGCTGCATCAGTGTCACCCACCAACAGACACACTCACACACACACGCATGCACACACACGCACACAGAGAGCACGCACGCCACCCTCTCTTTCAGTCTCCCTAGGCCATGGCCTCGTGTTTGTGCACAACGCTTCAGGTCACATTCCTTGACATCGATATATGATTTTAAGATTTCTTATTCATAGGTATTGATTACAGTCTCCTTGTGTGGTAACCCCTTAATCCTACACGTCAACTCAATTAAAGTTATTCTAACCATAGGGGACAGACTTCAGTTAAATACTCTCCCTAAAACCACCCTGAGTGCTACAGTGATGTGTTAGAATAGCAAGGGTTCCCTCGACAAAATGCAATAGAAAATGAGCTCTGTGTACTTATATGGTTTGTTCAGCAGGATTATGTTCACATATTTACACCACTTTGATTATTTTTAAAACCTAAATGCAATAGTATAAATGTTAGGCTTTAAAGGGACAACATCACGTTCACATGACTTTATGTCACCACAGCTAAGCTAAAGGTGGCTAATGTTCGCCGTGATGACATTTAGTCGTCTCTTTCTCTTGAAAGCAACCGTGACATAACTTCTATTGTGAACAAAATGTGAGAATATCTTGAACCACAGACCTTATTTCAGGCATCTCACCAAAAACATGTTTAAAAAAGCAACTGGAAGAAGTGGTAAAAAAGCTATCTCTTTGTCATTGTTGCCCCACTCCATTGCTAATATTTAAAAGAAAAATAGCAAACAGCAGGGTTTCGTAACCTTTCCTTGCCTTTGATGCTCTTTCCCGTTTCATAATAACATTACCACAGCAATTAGAGAGCTGCGAGGGAAAGGCACGGTCATAAACGGTTAGCCTGAGGTGGACGAATTCCGCCATGTTGGCCTCTGACGGGGCTTCACTGTCTACATGTGACATGGAGGAAGACATTTGTTTCTGATGTGGATTCAGGAGCCGAGGTGTCTTCATCAGAGATTAGGGACACATGTTAGGACAGGAGCTGATGTTGCAAGTTTACCGCTGAATTGTTGTGGCTCAGTGGAGGTTTCCCACAAACATACTCAGTGGATATGTGCTGGACTTCGAATCAGGAGGTGCCAAGTTCGAGTCCCACTGCAGTCAGAATGTCGTTGTGTCCCTGGGCAAGACACTTCACCCCAAATTGCTCTTGTCCACAGTACTGAATGTATGTTAGTCGCTTTGGATAGAAGCGTCTAACAAATTACATGTAATGTAACATACAACAGCTACAGTAAAATGCTACTTGCCTGTTTATGCCTCAACAATATGGTACTCTAAAAAAGGGGATGTCTGCATGATAGGTACATTTACTTTGGAAGCCGTTTCTTGTGAATCCCTCATGCTTAACGGGGCAATTTGAATCCAGCATGTGGGGACAAAAAACTATTTATAAGAGAGACAAAGACTGAATGCATTAAATGGCTTTTGCAGAAAATGCTGAAACAGTATTAAGAAAAAGGACTGACTCAAAGGCAAGCTTCTGTCTGCCATTTTTACTCAAAGACACCCTAAAAAACAGTCTTTGTGTTTCAGTGATTCCCTGATTTCAGGTGTAAATGCACAAATGACAGACAAATGAATTTGTCTCACTGTATGCTCAGTGTATATGACACAGCAGTCCTTTAGCATGCAGCGTGATGAGCAGCCCTAGCGCTGCAGGGTAGGATAGTCTCAGCAGCGGCAGTGCATAATGTGGACAGTGTGTCGTGCGTGGCTCACTATCGCCTAAAGATACTGTTCACTGTACTAATCCTGAGTAAAGGTCATTACTGCAGTCATGTAGCACAGTCGGGGAGCATCATGTTCTTCCTGCATACTTATTCTTAGGGTTTTGCAGCTAAGTGTCATTTCAGTGGATGAACATGTATCTTTGTCTTTAAATTTCAACCTCGATTTCATTTTAGCCCGAGCTCTCATGACTTGGCGTGCTCTTGCTCACCTTCAGACATGAGCAGCCCAGCAGGAGTCATGTTCTGGGGGTTAAAGCTGAGCTGAGCACGAGTTGAAATTGCTTCGGGGGGGTTTGGCTTCTGCACTGTGACTGTATGGCTTCGGCTAAGCCTCGTCTCCGGCCTCTGAAGGTTTCTCAACATCGCCTTGAGCTCTAAAGCCTCTGTTGTGGATGTGAGGCCTTCGCTCCAATTCCAGGTGCTTAGTACCCAGCATGCACTTTTGAAGTATTTCAGGTCCTTCATGGGGGCATTTTTGGAGCGACGCAATCAATAGACGCTTTTAATTTTCAATTACTCTCTTTCTTTTGGTGCCTCAAAAGCTTGTGTAAAAGTCTTATTCAGCTGTGCTTATGAAACATACGGTTAGAACAAGCGGTGGCCTCCCTGGAACAAAGGAGGATAAGGAGGTATTTAAGACAGATCTGTATGCAATAGAGTAATGATTGTCCGCACACAGGGAGAATTTTAATTTGCCGGAGAATCTAAATTCACAGCCTGTGGCTCCGCACATCGTGAAACAAGACATCAAATATGTCGCTGCCGCCGGGGAGCTCGGAGCTGAAGGTGTCGGCTGCCGTCAGACATCTTTAGTCCATTTCCTGCATAAATTATCTGCTTTCCTTCTGCCCCTCTGTCTTCTCCTTCGTGTGTGTGGTTGGTCATGTGATGGCACACACTAACCTGCCCTTAGCCTTCGTTTCTGACTTTGAGGAGTCATGCTCTGAGTCAAATATTAGGATGTATTTGGTATCACAAGTTTAAACAGGATTTTAACCTTGTCAAGGTGGACTTATAAATAATGAAAGCAAGAATGTGTGACTTTTTTAGCTATTTCCATTGATTTGGAGAGTGCTTCTAATACTATTATGGCATATTATTGTTAGAAAAAGATTTAGAAATAAATACATTTCCCACTCTGACTTATCACACTGTGTTAGACATTAATCCAAATCCCCAATCTTGTACCTGAGGAATGTATGCATCTGTTTTTGAAACCATAACTCTCAAAGGGGAATACAGGTGAATAAATAGTATGGTAATGCTGGCCATGTATCCCACCTATAAGAATTCATAAACAGCTCTACATGGTTGAGATTTATTCAAATACATATGGCAACATTTGGCATTTTAAGGCTATTCATATATGCATGGATTGATACATTCAAGTATAATATGGAGATACGTTTCTATTTTAAATATTGAGCATCCTTTGCTGAATTATGATAAATATTTAGTGCCATCTTGAATAACAATTGCGCAGACTTCAACTTTACGCACTGACTGATTCTCTTATCAAGTCAGCTGAGTCGAAAGAGAGGACTTCCTGTTTTGCCTTTAAAAATAAAACCCCTTCTTACAATTTGATTTAGTGTCTAATAAAAAAACTGTGTCTTCTGGTGCGGTGGTGGAAAACGTAATATTCATAATGATATAAAAAATGCAATATTGTGAAGAAAATTATGTTGCATTTGTTAGAGTTGCAGTTTATTTTACCCTGTTTATGCTGTTGGGTATAGGATTATTGAAAACAAATGTACTTATAGGATTCTTACTATGAATGTATATCCTCAAGGACATGGTTAAATACACTTACTAAGTGGCTTTGGAAAAAAATAAAATATAATATAGTTTCCAGTGGTGTAAAGTAACTACGTAGATTTACTCAAGTACCGGATTTAAGTACAATTCTGAGGTACATAATATGTACCTCAGAATTGTACTTAATGGCCCATCTCAGAATAATATATATTATATTTACTGCATATAATATATATTATTCTGAAATGGGGAAATCTGCATAATAAGTACTTTTACTTTTGGTACTTTAAGTATATTTTGATGCCAATACTATTGTACTTTTACTTGAGTAACATTTTGAATGCAGGACTTTTACTGTAAGAGTATTCCACTCTGGTACTTACTCAAGTACAAGTACTGAGTACCCATAACATCGGCTCGTCGTTCTTTCCTATTCTTAAATCCTCCTAACCTTTTGTTTTAATCTGAAGGGCTTATTCTCTATCTTCCGGTTTTATCTTGGGTATGTTCCCCAGCTGGCAGCAGCTCTCCATCCAGCCGCTGCCCAGAGGCGTGAAGCCATCATCACAACATCTGGACACTTGATTAACTTCCACTCATTTCCTCCCGAAAGCCTCCTCCTCCGTCACCATTCCTGTCCAGAGGGGCTCCGCGGGCTTCCTGTCGACCCTCCGTCCCCGGAGAAAGTGGACGGTGGTCCTGCTGGTGATCGTGGCGATGGTCCTGATCGCTCTGGCCGTGGCCGTCCCGTTACTTCTGCTCCGCGCGCCGGACACCTCTGCGTACCACTACGAGATGATGGGCACCTGTCGGATGGTGTGCGACCCGTACACTCCCAAACCTGGCGCCACAACCATGGAGGTGATCCAAAACGGTGTCGCTCCGCAGCCCCCCATGGCGCAGGGGAGCCGAGGGGAGCCGGGAAGAACGGGGAAAACGGGATTGAGGGGCACACCGGGAGCACCAGGACCCCCGGGTCCGAGGGGCCCCCCAGGGGAGAGAGGAGTCAGGAAAGTCGCCGCGGTGACCGGAGCTGACGGTTCTGATAACGCAGAGTTGGAAAGTGTGAACTCCACGTCCAGCGGATTCAAGATCGCTTTCTACGTGGGTCTGAAGAACCCACACGAGGGCTACGAGGTGTTAAAGTTTGACGACGTGATAACAAACCTGGGGAACCGGTACGACGCGAGCACCGGGAAGTTCACCTGCCATGTGTCCGGGATCTATTTCTTCACCTACCATGTGCTGATGCGCGGAGGAGACGGGACCAGCATGTGGGCCGACCTGTGCAAAAACGGACAGGTAACTAGAGAGCATGAGCAACAAGACGATAAGGAACTAGCAGATTGTTATCTTATCTTTTTTAAATGAAGATTATTACATTTAAAGCAGCTTAATCGAGTCATAAAATGTGCATTTTACGCACAAAATTAGTATATTATTAGTATATGTTATTCTTGTCTGCACTTATTGCATAACTGCACGACTCACTCCTGGGTAACATCTGGGATATTTCTGTTGTTGTGAGTTTGGATTATTGTGAGTGTTTCCTCCCAGATGTTAACAGCAGCTGGATCAGGGGTTACAAGTCTTAATCAGTATTGAGGATAAGCATCTGGCTCAAATATTATTAGGGTTGCCCCCTTCTATTGGCAAATCAGTCGTTTTGGTGCTGGTACTATGATTTCTTAAGTTGATTGTCTATCAAAAGAGATATTTGAATATTAGTTGGAGTCCTCTGAGCATCCAGAAAGAGCCATGTCTGTGCCAGTATGGAAAGGAAAGGAAACCCCAAGTAAAAAAAGGGCCGTTTTTCCAAAATGCATATAAACGTGGAAAGTTTCAAAAATAAATGCAATGATCTTACATTGTTTGATTTACAACCATCAAATATTTGAGACAAGGAGGGGTACAATTTGTGTAACATGACTACTATTCTTAAACTTGTATCTTTAATTGTTGTGTTGTGATTGTGGTAGTCTTGCCTGTGGTTGTGTGACGTCATGTTGTTTTGTTGGTTGTACCATATGTTAGGACCCCCTTGAAAACGAGACGGTTCATCTCAGGGGGTTATTCCTAAATGAATACATCTCCTTTAATTAACCACTGCTTATTACAGGAAGTATTGTCCTCTGTTCCCCAGGTCAGAGCCAGCGCCATCGCTCAGGACGCAGACCAGAACTACGACTACGCCAGCAACAGCGCCGTGCTGCACCTGGACTCTGGAGACGAGATCTACGTCAAGCTGGACGGAGGCAAAGCTCACGGGGGGAACAACAACAAGTACAGCACCTTCTCCGGCTTCATCTTATACCCCGACTAAACACCGGCGGCACAGCATGGACATTAGCACTGAGAACTGTTTTCATTAAAGTATATGGTCCAATGTGTTTCTCTACATGGGATTATCTGTACGTTCTGTTCTGAGACCTTTTGTACATGTGTTTCATTTAAGTTCAGCTGTCGTCAGAGTTTGTATCAGACCTAAAGTGACCCCATACTTGCTCTGAGCGGAGAAGCCATCAGAAGTTCCTTTGACACATTTCAACAACGCTTGCGGGAACAGGCCACACCAGCTGCTCACTCGGTGTATTAATGGTGTCTACTATTTCAGGCTCGGACGGCAAAATAAATCCATTGAAATGTAGAGAAAAATCATTTTGACAGCTTTTTTTCAAAGAGTTGAGTCAAGGCCGGGTCACACCAGCATGAAAAATGACATTTTATGTCAAATCATTTGACCAGAATCACCACGATAAGTAGATTCTTTGGTGGGGGAAATACATGGATATTTTTCAAAAATGTTCAAATGTAGTTACCTTTGTAGTGACAGACATTTATGTTGTTGACCTTTAGGGGAGCAGAGCTAACGAATGCAAACTAAAGGAAGCTAATGTATAGCCAATTAGCTGTGCACTAATTTAACCTGCTTTGATGAAGTATAAATAGTTTAACATAAGAGACGTGGTTTGCAGACAATTATGACAGTGTGTTTGTGATGGTAAATGTGGCAAACCAGGATAAAATCCAACAAGAAGGGATACTTATCTACTGGTAATCGGGGAGAAATATAGTTCTTAAAAGCTAGTTGTCTCTTGTTTAAAAAACCTGCAAATAAGTGAGGTTTTTGGTGGAAAAGGCGATTAGCAAGAGAAATGCCAGTGGACAGGAGAAAATGGTTACCCAGTAGGATAGCATATTAGCTAAAGTGTTTCACCAAGTAATCAGGACGTAATCAAGTTCCTACCACCACACATTGTGCAGACTTGTTGATATGCCACTACTTGGTGTGACCAGGCCTTTTACTAATTGCATCACATCTGATTTACTACTGTATGGTAACTCAATCACGCCAACTTGCATCCACATGAATTTCCTTCATTCTTATTTATTTGTTGCTCTAATGTAAGCATATCATCAGCCATCATTCCTGGTATCCTTCTTGCAATGTTTCATGCACTTCAGTTGGATAAGCTGTTTTAAAAGAAGTTGTCTGATTGGTTCACTGGAACACACTTTAAAATGCATTCAATAAGATACAAAGAAATGAAAATCGAGGTCAGTTTAATTTGCTATTGCAAGCAAAATCGTGGTGCTTTGAGTTCAATGTTTCACTAAATGTCCCAATAACCACGACACAAATGGAAGTCTTGCAATTGATATTGACTCGGTTATATTTTGGTGTCATATATACAAATAAATATGATTTGACAAAACTTGCTTTGTGTACAAATCTCTGACCTAAGGGGTGTTTTCTTGTTTAAACGCAACTTGGGGTCATGCAGTTGCAGAAGTTGTCTTTGCAGCCTTTTCCCCAGAGATATAAAAAAGGGAGCGATCTGCCTGATATTTGTCTCTTCATGTTCCCTTCCCCAGGCTGCCTGTCTGAATGTGTTGCATTGCTCTGTGCACCCTGTGCCCTGCTCTCTGGCTCTCAGGTGCCTCTCTGAATGTCCTTTGCTCCACTGTAGCTTGCAGACTATTTTAGTCACTGACACCATTCTGCTCTCAGATGCTGTGCACTGCAAATCTCTTTCTTAATGTATTATGTCATTCTGTTTATTGTCATTTCAAAGTGTTGCAAATGCGAATCAACAAATGTTTAGATTTTGTAAGCGATAAATAGATAATTTATCTGCAATTTCTTTAACAAAAGATAATAACGATGCCTTTCTTTGTCCTATTATACTGACTATCTTTGTGTTTTGGGCTAGGTCTGTCAGATATCAACCTTAGCTCAGAAACAATTGGTTTCGATATTAATCAAGAAAACCACTACCAGACTTATGGCTAAGGAAAATAACAGTAAGTTATGGCACTATGGCTAAAGCATTACGTGGAGAGGTTGTGTAAGATTCAATTGAATAATGTGAAAACCTTTTAAACCTCTCTCAGCTATAACCGTTATTTTCTGTCACTTTAACGCTTTTATTCTGAAGGACTGCGAGGTGGCTCAGAGGCGAAGGAGACCAGGCTATACGCTGACAGTGAGATGAAACGTAAATGATATTCTCAATGCGTCTCTTCAGATCTTCTAAGATATAAGATGGTGTCTGGAAGCTGCTGGCTGCCGGCTCCTGTGTTTCACTTCTGATTAACTTGTTTTAAGATTTGCAAATGCTGCACCAAATATGGCTGTAAGCCTTCATTAAGATGATGGCTGTTTTGTGTGCGCTTCATTATTTTTTTTTTCATCCCTTCCCCTCAAGAACACACACTAAACAGCTGTTTACACACCAGCACTGTCGATTTAAATGGAAATTGTGGAAAACAAATATTAGCATGTCTGTTTAGATAAACATCTATTAAGGTGTTGGCTTGTTTCCTGCTCTCTCCTCCTCAGAGGGACCGAGTTAATCTGAGCTGCTCCAAGAAAACTAAATCACGCTTGGACCCGTTGTTTTTTGACGAAAAGGGTACGTGTGCAATAGACAAAAAGCATGAACACTAGATTAATAATTTGGTTTTGCTTTGGTTTCTCTCTTCTCTATAATATATGGACATTTCAAAGCTATCATATATTTAGCCATCTATTAGCATTTGATTTGGACACGTAATATAAGGTTTGGCAATTAGAAAATTCTTTAATAAACTGAGTGATTTGAATAGTATGTTTACTACTAGGAGAGAAGATTAAAAACCCAGGAAGTGATCAATACAAGTGTCAGTAGGTTTAGAAATGTGAGAGCTGCAGCGAGGATGTTTCTGTGCAGAGGCCTTTAGACTGTTCAGAGATCAAAGCACAAAGCCCTGACTGCAGACACATTTAGGATGAAAAGTGGAGCTGCTGACACCAACTGAGACATCAACAGTGAGAGTGTCACCGGCTCACACACACACACACACACACACACACACACACACACACACACACACACACACACTTACTTAAGGACAGGATAGATGATCATGCATCCCCCTCGTCTGGGTGACAGTGAGGTATTGCTGACTGACAGACTGAGTAGTGAAATTCTCTGATGGATGAGATAAGTGGGACACACACACACACACACACACACACACACACACACACACACACACACACACACACACACACACTTGTATTGTGTTCAGGTGAATGCAACAGGAGTAATGAGTGAGCGAAGGCAGGTTTTAAGCCTGTTTTTCATGCAAATATCCTTAAAGTAAACAATGCTTTCATTATTTAAACCTCAAAAATGTAAAGTTATAAAACACGGTATCCCGCAGTAAAGAGCAGCCTGACATCATCTATTTCAGAAAGCTCCTGATTGTATCGACATGAAAAACGGTGTTGGACGAGCTCTCCGCTCAGGCAGCCAATCATCGGGACATTTTTAAAACCTCTTCTCATTCTCCGTCCCCGCGATGATTGATCCATCACTAACACTCATGTCTGAGATGCAAATGCCAGCGTGGCATGAGCGAAATATAAAAGAGGGACATCCGAAGGGACCGGCAGTGAGAGGGTGAAAGCCGAGTGTGACACCTCAAAAACCTTCTGCTTATCTCTCTCTTTTGTTTGCTTGTTCAAGCTGCTGTGCTGCTAACCACACAGCTGGGAGAGCAAGAGAAAGGCGGCAAAAGTGAAGAGCCGCTGCATTAAAGATGTGAACAGAGGAACAATGGCTGTCTGGAGATTAAACACTATGTGATCATTTGTTCAAGGAATGCAGAGTTTTTAGGGTCTGTACGGAAATAAAGGCATTTTTCTGTTTGCTGTGTGTCGAACTTTTCCTCTTACATTCAAAAGCACTGATCAATTCTTAAAGGGGCCCCATTATGCTCATCTTCAACCCTTTTGACTTATTATGGAAGACATGGAAGTATATATATATATATATATGGTTCATGTTCTCATGTCAGTGTGTCCTTGTCTCAAAGGAAGCATATCTAAACAACACCCAGAACACACAGAAACAGAGACTCTCATATGTTTGTTTCAGTGGAATATATCGTCAGTGTTAGGGTTTATATTCTGGATAATGAAACAGCCAAACGCTGACTCACTTCATCTGTCAGTCTGCACTTTGTACATCACATCTCTTTGTGGTTTAATCGGCCAAACGAGGGAGAGATTTGAGGAAGAGAGGGAAAGAAAAGGCATCAACAAACAACGAGGGGATAAATAAAAAATGTTCGAAGTAAATAAAATAACCAAAATAAAAACCCTTTGGGGGTTTGAACTCAGGGTAAAGCTTATTTGGGGAATAATATAATGCTGTGGGTGCTTTGGAGAATATGAAAAGCTTCCAAGCTCATAAACATATCACCTGTCAAACGCTGCACACTGAAAAGACGTAGCTTTAAGGCTGCAGTCGCAGAAAAGGTGAATTTCATTGATTTAAAGCTGCTCTTTGAGTCATGTGAGCATCAATGTGAGCGCTATGCTGCGAATATAACAATTTAAAAACCTCATTTGTAATAAAAGTCATACAAAAACATGTTTTTCTCGCTTCAAACGTGGATTTCTTCCTCTGTACCACCCATGTTTGGTTTTAATTAAACTAAACTATACATTTTAACTGGGATGTTATAATTTTTTTAAGCAAACAGCCAAGAGAGAAAGCATTAACTGCATCCATAATACGCCTATCTTCTATCCAAGTCATCCTGTAATAATCCTAATGGAAAATCATTTGATTATATAATATGTCCTCCTGGCGAGAAACCCTCTCCGACCTGAACTTTGCTCTCATTATTTGTCCTTTCTGAAGATAAGTCTGCTGTAACGAGAGGGTCGCACGACTTCAACGTCACGCCAACTTAAGATCGTTTCAACTGACTTGCACTGAAACTGCACTTTGAAAACTTTAAATATATTAACATTTTAAACTGTATACCCCGGTTATCTAGGCCCTTTTTGTTTTATGTATACATGTCACACTGTGAAACGATATTTCGATATTTCTGGATGTATAACAGATGTAGAATTTTTGACAATAAAGCTGAATTTGACTTTCGCGTGCTTGCATATTTTAACAAAGCTTTTCATTTTAGCCACACTGAATTTAACTAGAAGTCATGGCTGTGTCAATTACCAGTCTGATATCGTTTTACAAAGATGACAAGAAGAGTGTAGATAGAGGAGAGAACCACTACAAGTCAGGACACGTTACAGTGCAGCCTAGATGAAGGTGTGCTTACCGGTGTTGTCAGGGCTAGCATGAGGGACAAAGTTTATAGTGTCGGTGAGTAGTGATAGCAAGAGTACCGTTAACCTAGAGTTAATTTATTCACATACATTCCCATCAACAAATCAATTTTATGTGTCACATGAAATCTTTATTAGGCAAGGCAAGTTTATTTATATAGCACTTTTCAACACAAGGCAANGCTCCAACACACCGGCCCCTAATTGTGACTGTATAATAAAGTGACAATTAAGACACTCTTGTGTTCTTTACTAATAATTGACTCCACTGGTGTTTTGGTGTAATTGTCACTTTATTATACAGTCACAATTAGGGGCCGGTGTGTTGGAGCCAATTTGCTTTGGGTTGTGCACGGGGTTTGTTTATGTGTGTGTGAACGCGTCATCATCCAATCTGCGCACCTGAGAGCACGGGAGGTAATTCACCTATACTGTATATGTGGGCACAGGTGATCAGCTGGGATGAGAGGTTAGAAAGGAAGCCACACGTTTTTCAACCGTGTTGACCGTGATTGCTTGTTTCTGAGCGTGTGCTTGATAGTTATGTTTTAACCAAGATTTTAGATGGGCCTACGTGAGTCGTAAAAGAACATTTTAACCTCGGAGAAAGAAATAAAGCATTACAAATTACGTCATGGTGGACCTCATCCTTCACCACAACACGCGTTGGGAACTCTGACTGCTAACCTCCATGAGTGGCTTTTTTTGATGAGCGATCGCCGCTACACCCACCTTTAAGTAAGATTTTGAATGCAGGTCTTTTACTTGAAACAAAGTTACATTAAAAATGTAGTATTGCTACTTTTATATAAGTAACAAATCTGAGTACTTCTTCCACCACTGCTAATACTCCATCTTAGTTTACGGAGGGAAATTCCTCCTTTTGGTTTTGTTAATTGCTAATTTATGGCTGTATATGCTAGTTGCACGGGATGACGTATTTCCATTTCCGGTTCATTGAGTGTGTGGTTGTAAACTTCTGGTCTATGGTAGAGCAGTAGAGGGAAGAGCGATAGATAGCGTATAGATAGCGAGAGATATAGCGAGAGAGATAGCGAGAGAGATAGCGAGAGAGATAGCGTATAGATATTATATAGGCACTATTTTACACTCGATGTCTCCAAGACCTACCGAAGGCTAACATCAGTGATGTACATCGGCTGTTACAAGCGGCAAGCTCAGCCCCGAGGAGCAAAAGAGAAAAGGGGTTCAAGATTTACATATCCAGTTACGTCGACAATTATGAAGGTAAGTGACAAACAAAGCTGTAGTTACTGGCTAACTTTGACAACTTGACAGTCTTGATACAGTGTAAAGTTTTTTAATGATGTACTATTACTAGAGTGAGCATCAGGGCTAGCTCTTACAGGTCCATGAGAAAGCATGAGAAGCCTCACGATCTCAGAGTAGGGAGGAAAATAAAAAGTGTTCATCGGTTCAAAGCCTCAATCAGGTTCATGTTCTGGGGTTTTGATGTGGCTAGAGTAGGTAACCTGTGATTTAGGATTCAAATAAGCCCAGCTAGCTCAGGTGTTGCAACAGATTACATAGTGACAATACATTAGCTCACATAAACTGGTAGCTAGCTGTGTGTGTGTAGCATGAAGGGGCTACAGATTTATTTTCGTTTTGTAACCCTCTCGTGTAAAATGATAAATACATTAGCTAAACCCAAACTTAGCTTTCATCAAAGATTCTTAATGAAAGGTTGAAAACCGTCTCTGCTTTCATGGAAACCCCAGAAACTGGTTGTGACGGCTGCTGTTCTTTACTGAATGGTTAGTATAATCCATGTCGATTCCAATTATTTGTATGGGCCAGTGTTAGGTAAGTGCTGGTTTTGTACCCTACATCTATGTTAAGCTGTTCAACGTTCTACTAACACTATTTTATGTAGTTATAATATAAGATAATACATTGAGAGAGCTGAGACAGGCTATACAAGTGTATCTGTTTGAATGTCCTTAAATTACAGTATTCCAAACAGCAGAACTTCTGTGTATGTGATGTGACTGACAACCTGACATGGTTTAGCCTTTTCCCACACCTATTACTTGCCTGATCAGCCTGCTCTCAGCTTTCTAATTTGTCTGTGTTGTATTGAAGCAGTGTCCTAAATGTAAAATGACTGACATTTTGTTTTAAGAACTGTTCACCTGTGGAGATTGCAGTGGCAAAGTGTTCCTGTGTAGTGTACATAGAACTTATAAAATGTTATACTGGAAAACCAGAAATTCTCGTGCACAAGCCAACTAAAGCTTTTATTCTGAAAATCCTTCATCTCCGGTTAGCATTAGCATGTGGCTAATATACGATTCTAAAGAGGTGAAATTAAGTAGCGAAATGACCATGGAGTGGTGCAAACTGAAATACCTACTGATTTAACCACCTACAACTATAGAATGTCGAGATACTACCATGCTGAATATTAAATGAAGGGTACAGTTTATTTGAATACAATATTGTTTACAGGACGAGAGTAGCATGTGACAACATCCCGGAATGACCGGAAACCAAACTCCGTGAAAGTATTTTCTGTATATTTTAGAGTATTGATGACAGCGTTTAGAATGTCCATCCATCCATCCATCTTCTCCCGCTTATCCGTGGTCGGGTCGCGGAAGTAGCAGTTCCAGCAGAGAGCCCCAAACNGAAAAGGAGCAGGGCGAAGAAAATAATCTTATATTACAGTGTTTCTCAAACTTTTTCATACCAAGAGGCGCGTTCACACCGCAGCACTTTTCACACAAAGGTTAATCAGAACTTAGTTCATGAGAACTCTCTAGTTCTCATGAACTAAGTACAGATCGCGTTCACACTGGAATAAGTCCCTGGGGGTGGATTAGGCAAATGAAGCCGCTGACGTCACTTCTTCTTCTTCTTCTGCTTTGGGTTTACTGGCAGGCCGCAAACAACTTCACGGCGTATACTGCCGCCCAAAATCCCCGGCCGGAAGTCCCCGGTTGTTGGGGACTGGTTTCAGTAGAAGCCGCTGGGACTCCCAGCAGCTTCTACTGAAGCCTTCCGAGTAAATCGCCAGAACGCCGACACCTACTCATCTCCACCGGTCCCATGTTTTATTTTGTGTTGCAATAAATTAGTCTCTCTGCGTTTCTGCGCTGGGCTAATGCTAATGCTAATAATGCTAATAATGCTAATGCGAGGATTTGAGTTTTACGGGGCGTGGTTTGCAATCCGCCCAGCCAATCAGAAATATAGCTCTTTTCTCACAAGAGAGCCGCATGAGAGTCCCTGGAAAAGGGGGTAAAAAGGTTCTCATGAACTAATTTTAGTTCCGGCTCTTTTTGGTGTGAACGCGACATTTCGGAACTATATCGGAACTAAAGTGGGAAAAGTACTCCGGTGTGAACGCGGCTAAGGCAATTCAAAGTGCTTTACAAAAAGACATTAAGAAACATATTATGAAATGACATTTAAAAACACTCATTTAAAAGCAAAGATACATGAATTAAAGTTACAGTGCAGTGTGAGATACACACATCTGAAATGTTTAGGTCTCATTGCTAACTTTTTAGCAGAAATAGTTTTCTATGACCTCACTTTCTTTCTACTTTAGTTATTTCATGTTTCATGCTAAACAAACCCCCCTTTGGAAAATTATAATCTGACCCCATGGTACCTTTTAGTTTTCGCCCAAACTATTCCTCTTTTTATTTTGAAATGCACATAGTTAAATTCACCTTGTCTTTCTAGTACTCACTTATACTGGCTGAATTCATTCCTCTGTGCATCTGGCATCCTGAGCTTGTTCACCAGGATCCTCAAAATGCCCAAGAAAAAGACGAGGTTCATCTGGAATTATTAAAAGACGATTGTTATCATATGTGTGGAATACTTTGGCATTTTTAAGAAATAATTGTTTTGCTTTCTTTGCAAATAGGCACAATCTTTATTCTGTAATCTTAGTCAAAATACCATTCCTCAAATACACTGTTTTTTCCTATGTCAACAACTGCTGTCCTCAACTTTACATGTCATGTTCATCCCACTCATACATGTTTATATTCTGAAAATGAAGCAATTCTCATCTAATATTTGGCGAAAAAGTGTACTCCCCAAAACCTGGAACTACTATTATATTACTACTAGTTTGAAAGACGTTTTAACAGAGAATGAAATGCAAGTAAAAGAGAGGTTTTTACAGATATAGTCAGAAGAACTGGCACTCGAAGTATCCACCAAATCCACTCATGCCTCCTGGTTTCCCAACAGCTGTGGCGATAAAATAAGAAATACAATCATAGCATCTGATAAGGACAAAACAAATGAATGAGTGATTCAGATTTTAACCCCACGTACCCTTCGTCTTCATAAAAGAACTTGGCACATCCCCAGGAGATGATAACAATCAGAGGTAAACCTGAACCATGAGAAGGGATGAATTATGACAGATTATAGCTAAAGTAGGTACATAACAATCAACAAATAATGCATAATATCTACCACATAGACATGATTTAAGTACAGGTCAATCAAATAATACCTAGTACAGTTAAAATATAATATTACAATACAGTTAAAATGGAAAAACTCAGATTACAGTGTAATTAATGTTGGCATGACTGGTTGCAATAATAATAAAAATGAATAAATAGTCAATGTGAATACAGCTATATTGAGTTGGTTGATGTGATCATGTGACCTACCCCAGCTCAGGACGATGTACCAGGCCAGGTGTTTCTTCAGGGAGAAGAAGGAGCGGCTCACCAGAGTGAACAGGAAGTGACCCTCCGCCAGAAGCCAGCTGTAGTTGGCCAGGATGGAGTAGTTGGAAAACATCAGCACCACCTTACACACCACCTGCCGCACAGGATGTATAATGTAGGACAGGGGTGTCCAAATGCGGAGGCCATTTTGAATCGGCCCTCAGCAAATTCAAAAAGTATAATGGAGTATGGCCCACACATGAAACTTGTGCTTGTCTTGTACTTCTTCAATATAGATGAAAGCAGATATCACACAGTATTCATGTGTTAAGAAACCCACTTTTCAAACAAATCCAGTCAATTAGAGTTGAAAACATTTTCGATCAAATCTAAGTTGATAAGAAAAAAGCCCAATAACTTCTTTGTGTAACACGCTTGAAATAAACCCTTCATATTTCGCCTAATTATAAGCAATCTGAGGCTTCTGTGTTAAGGAATGAGCTGCTAACAAAATAAATGAAAGCCTATAGAGAGCTGTGAAAGCATGTTCAAGTATTAAGCATCATTTACCTTCATTTGATTAATTTTGCTAAATTATAACATAACTTATGAGGCAATATATCTCTAGTGAGTGGCCCAGCCCTTCGTATATTTTTCTGTATGTGGCCCTCGGTGAAAACAGTTTGGACACCCCAGATGTAGGAGATTAAAGGGGCCGCATCGTACCGGGTAGGCGTCACAGTGGTAGAGCTCCTCGTTGTGAAACAGCAGGGAGTCTCTGATGAAGATGAAGATGGCTCTCAGGATGAAGGAGACAAACAGCTGGATGTGAATGTGGTTCCTGGTGCAGTGCAGCTTTCTGAAGGAACGGTAACACTCACAGTTTCAGGATAACACTTTTCCGGTTGAAGAAAGGATAAAGATATTCAGGTGTTTCTCACCTGAGCAGACAGAAGATGGTGACGGCGATGGAGAGGGAGATGAGGGAGAGGGCGTATCCCACCGTGTACATGGTCTTCACGTAGGAGAAATACAGATGGGAGTCTGAGGACTGAACAAGGAGAAAACATCACTTTGTCATGTCTTTCTTATACAGAAATGTACCTTTTAAATGTGGGCAGTCTAATGTTCAAAGAGAGAGTTCTCGAGGGCATCAGGTGTTAAATTAATATCGTTTATTTCAAGAGTTTGAGCATATCATTTTGGTAAACAGGGGTCTTCACCTTTCAATACATTTTCAGGTATAGCAGATCTGTTTCTAACACAGATGAAACTGAAACCCTCTTACTCTGAGCCAGTTCAAATGTACAGGTAGTGGCCTATTTGCTTCATAACTATATTAAATAAAACACACTGTAAATATTAGTTTCCACCAACCTCTCCAAGGAAGTGGAGAGTCTCATTGAAGGTGTAGCCGCATGCGTCTTCATGTGGGACCAGAGGGTCCGTCCAGCCAATGGCCGTGCAGTTACGATGCACTTTAGCTGCAACAGAGCATACACATATTAATCATTACTGTTGTCTGAAAGGGAATATGTGCCTGACAGAAGAAGAATGTATCCTGGGAGAGTACAGATTGTTTTCGTGCAAACTTGGATTTACTGGAAAGTGAAAAGCTTTACACAGTCCCTCTTCATAAACGTCAGATACATTATCATGAAATCTATCATCATCATCTTTTAACACATACTTAGCACTCTAGTGTGTCTCTAACCAAACAGTCAGCAGCCATAAAATCCTTGTGTACATAGAGACGTTGAGAGGGAAAATGTGAGTTCTTTATGAAAACGGATCAGCTTTTTGGTAAATAATTAACCAGTTCACCGATGTGGGATAGATAATGGGTGTCTGTTTAAACGTGTGTGTGTGTGTGTGTGTGTGTCTCGCACTGGATCACAACGCCCAATCAGCTGCTCCGAATCTGGAACAATGGGAAAGTGCTCTACACACTGAGGTAGGAAGACATGGAAACACAATGTACAGAAACAAGAGATCAAACAAAGAAGCAGGGAATCGATAGCAGGAAGCTCAAAGAAACACTCACGTACAATCATTTCATCTGGACATAATTGCCTTTTTTACAACATTCAGTTATCTCTGTAAACATGTGAGGAGTCTGTACCTCATCACCCTAGATTTTAAAGCAATTTGACGCATTGATTGAACTTCTTGTGTTCTTGGAAGTGACTTAAAGTGAATCGTCCATAATTGGGCAAAAAGGAAGGAAGCCTGGGTGGTTCAAACAGCAATATCTCACACTCATAAATAGGCAATTTGCAGATTAATTCAAGCCGCAGTCGTCTTAAATCCATGTCTGTTGCAGTAGTTTTCATTAGTGGCTTGTTTTCACAATAACAAAGGCTTTTTTGAAACCATGGCCTGTCTTTAAAGCCCCTGAAAACACGGTTTAAAATCTTAAAGAGGAACCATATAGATTTTTCTTGGAATATAATGTTTAAACAGTTGATTTTTCTTCCAAAAAATATGTGTAAACCTGCTTTTTTCTGCTCAAAAATAGCCTGTGTTAGTCAACTTCAAAGTTCAGTTTGTCTGACTCATCCCTTCCCTATTGTGACAAGATAGTCAAAACACTAAAGTATACTATCATACAAGTGCCAGATTATGAAAAGTGAATACATTTAGAAGACGCTGTCCTCCATTTTTGGAGGAATTATGCTTTTATATTGAAAGAGACTCCCCTATTCCTGTTTTGAGGACTTGCTTATTTTAGCTTCTCCTCCACTCAATCATTCATACTGTATGTGTTGTTTTAAATAATGATATGTGAATATCTCAGCTCCTGCTACAAAGCCTGCTTTACCTCGGCACAGAAGAACATAAGCTTCTGTACAACGTGTCATCATGCCACACCAAGTGCTCGTTTATTACTGTGCTCTCTGACAGCGTGTGTGTGTGTGTGTGCGTGTGTGCGTGTGTCTCACCCTCCGAGCTGAAAAACTCTGGACACGGCTGAGAGACGGTTTCTCCGAGAGAAGCAGGAGGCCAGCAGTTCAGCTCATCCCACATTCCCTTACAGTGTACACTGATATTGTTTTCTTCATAGTTGGAACAGAAATGACAATTTATTTGCTGCAATTCAATACAAAAAAGTCAATAATAAGAATGAATCCATATAGACGGAATATATTGGTATGTGATGTGTTTTTTTGCAGGGTTGAAACCATAGGTTGAAACACTGCAAAACCTCAAATTCTGGATGCATCTGGATCATTTAGTGTACAATAAATTCTGCCTAATGTAAGGATGAGATGTCGCCTTTTGTATTGTGACCACTGGGTGTCACCGAAACATTGCTTCACATTTCTGTAAATTAAAAAGTTCTTTATTGAGAGATTTTATTTATTCCAGAGATCAACCTTATTGCAATGGAAAACAGCCTACTTAATTAAAATGTGTTTCATGAGATACAAGTGTAACATGCGTAAAACGAATGTAACTCACCTGTTTGTTGTGTAAAAAGCAGCAGATCTGTCAGGCACTTTTCCTCCTCTTTCATTAGATTAACATGAGGAAGACACCAGGATGACGCCTACAAATAAAGGTATAATAGTTCACTTAATCTTAACATATATAGATTCAAACACACTTTTATGTTCTCACCTGGGGTAACAGTAGCACTCCAAAAAGTCCAACTTTTGTCATTCTCTCTGGCAGGTTCCTTTTTTCAATCAAGATAGGGACCTACATCCAAACATCAAGCCTCATATCTGATTAGAATGAAAGGCAAGCATCCTGCTGGCAGCAGATATATGATATGTGAAAATCAAACATAGGTCTACTCAGTGTCGATAATTATGCACAGTTCTCCTCAGGACAATGTGATACTCGACCATCAAGGTAGCTGTAATGAAAAGTCAACTGGAAGTTATGACTTTCAAAATAAAGTTTTAATTCATGGGCACGTTACGTTTATACTTTCATAATGTGTAAAAACGTTAAAATATAGTAACAGGGCGTAACTTAATTAAAATGTGGATCAACAGAATATATTTCCACTGTATACATCCAAACAAATAATGAAACAATATACATATTACCCGTCTATGCTTTTATGTTGAATGCAAAGTTTCCGTTATTCGGTCTTATTTTTTGTGATTGACTTCCTTTGGGGCAAATCGGCTTCGCCCAGAGGCCGTTAGTCCCGCCCCCTTCAGAACACGAGGGTCTCTATGGCAACATCAGTGTTTGAGGTAGGAGGTTGGTTTCCTGCAAAAAAGTTTGTTTTGTGAAAATAGACGGAATATATTGGTTTTAAACTCAAGAACTTCATGCAAACTCTCGCCTAAAACGTAAGTAAGTTCTGAAGTGACATTGTGACAGCGACAAGTCTTGCTATGAAGCTTTGAAATTAACGCTAGCATGAGTTTGAGTGGTTAAATTAAGCTAACAGGTGACCACAGGTAAGCTAACGCTAATCATTGTATTTTTTTATTTATCTTTTCACAAGGAGTTTTGTTCATGTGGTTTGTTTGTGAAGCACTTTGAGTTATCTTTGTGTATCAAAAGTGCTATATTAAAAAGTTTGAATTGATAACTGAAAAATACTTAGCGGTACAAAAATATAATTTACTGTTGTTTAGGACTTATAAGTGATGCAAATACCGTGCGTTTATGACGTTTATGACCACTTAACCTTTGACATTTAATACTTTGCAGCGCTATGCTTTTATATGTTATACTTATTTCATCAATCTACACTCAAGAGAAATGTAACTCAGGTGTCGCCAATTTCTTTAATTATCTTTGAGATGTATCGTCACCTTGATTGGTGCACCTGTGATGAATTCAGCTGATTGGAGGAGGCGCTCACCTGGTGCACAGCTCACTGTATCGAGCATGCACATAGCTGGGAATTAAGGCTTACAAATACATATATCGGCTGCATTGAAGTTTTCCAAGCACGGTCAGTAATTAGCTCCATCTAATTCTAGTGAAAGAAGTGGCTTTTCTTCACTCACCAACCAAAACACATGTTTATCCAATGAGTGGCCGGTCAAATCATAACACTCATCAGCGATTTTGAAGTAAAAATAAAAGTGTTTGTGTATGAGAGGGGGAGACAAATTGTCAGTATTTACCTTTTTGGAAAAAAAATAGATGCATTTAGCATAAGGCTCCAACAAAGTATCATGATTCAAAATAAAGGGGTGTTAATAGACTACTGTATACAGTAGGACGGGATGTGATGCCCCTCGTGCATGCTTTTTGCATCTTAATGTCAGAAAGTATATTCAATTCTGTCATTAACACACATAATGACCCGCTGTCCTTCCATGTCTTTCCTCTTGTATTCAGATTATTTATTCATAGCTTTACCAACATAATATTGCCCAACAATCTGCTGTCTCCTTGTCTGTCCTCCAGCCTTCTGTCATTTCTCTCATGAAGAGCCAGGCCTGACCTCTTGCAGGATGGAGGTGGTCCTCTCTGGCCCACAGAAACTGCCGGAGCCCCTCAGGAGGGGGACCCCTGTGCCTCTGAGCCAGCTGGTGGAGGAGAGCAGGAGCAAAGCAAATACTCCCAACCATCTTCTGGAATCAAGTACGTATAAAAAGCCTGCATTCAAGCCATTTCCTGTTGCTAAAAAGGATATTACATTTCACTAATTACTTGTTCCCTCTTATAGAAATCTATGCCAAACTGAAAAGCAACAGCCTGATCCAAGCAGAGCCCGCAGAGCTTCACTTCAGTGGGTTTGAGCTGGGGAAGGATTACGTAAAGATCCTGGTGAGGAAAATACACACTCCCATTCACAGGCTACATTGAACAGCTCATTTACAGATTGTAAGTGATTTAAATGTATGTGTATATATATATATATATATATATATATATGTGTGTTTGTGAATAGTTGAGTTGTTTTCTTTCAAAAGCAGCTGCTCCTTTAGGGGCAGTGTTGGGTGCATTTACAGAGCTGGTTATGATATTAACTTGACACAGAAAGACTGTAATCACATTCTTCTTACAGTACTCCTGTCAGCTTAGAAACCAACACTCAAGAGTACCGCGGGTTCTCAACCGGCCCTAAAGAGACACTCAGAGAGCATCCTAGAGATCAAGATGTACCAGTGCAATAATTAGGACGTATTTCTGAAGTTATATGCATCATCATGTTTGAAGCACTTGGTGACTGATGTGTGTGTGGACAATAGCCTGGGTCAGGGAGAAGTGGAAGTCTGTGCAGTTTGGTGCAACTTGTGTGCTGATGAATGGTGTTATGGTTTTTCCAAGCCTTCGTACTCTTTGTAGCTGAATGCATACAGGACATATAGCAGGACGTAGATATTGGTGTTATGATAAGACGTCTCTTTAGGTCGTGTTTTAGCTAAATGTTTTTCCGGCATTTATTCTATCTGTCTACATAACTTGTTTTGCCCCCTACAAATGTGTTTCATGTCACCCCTTCTCTGTCCCATGCATCAACAAGTATAACGTTTGGATGATTTAATTTGGTCTAGCTTCAGCAACTATTCAATTGAATAGCTGCTGAAGCTAGACCAAATTAAATTGAATGGGCACTGATTGTACCTCATATATTCGTGACGAAGCCCTGTAGAATGTTTCCAAGAAAATGGAAATAGTTTTTCTCAAGTGCACATGATTGGATGGGAATGAATAATTATTTTCTCTCCTCCCTCAGAAACTAATCAACATCTCATCTGAAGTTATGAATATTCATGTCATACCCACTCAAACCAAGCACTTCCAAACAACTTACACCAAAAAGGTATGTTTTTTTCATTACAAATGGCTGACCTGAATGACTCCACTCATCCATTAGTGCAAATCAGTGTTGTTTCTGATGATTCAACCCATTCCATCTGTTTTCCTTCAAGTATCGACTCATCCCGGGCCTCGCCTACACACTGAGGGTCAGGCTGTGTCCCGACGAGTGGCGCTACTTCTATGACTGCATTCGGGTTCACTGCAAGGTGAGGATCCAGCTGTTTGTGCACCCCTGAGGACGCTTTCATCTTTACACTTGAGGCATTAAGTGAAAGCTGTACATCACAGCGATCCTCAAATAACTTTGCAGGGACATTAACAATAACTTCAAAGCAAACGTCAAACAACTAATTCATAATAATCTATTTGTAGATCGAAAATTGGGGAACATTTCCAAGATCATGTTTCCAAATTGTCTTGTTTTGTCAGCCAAAAATGCAAAGTTATTCATTTGAATATAATTGTGCATAAAATAGCATCTCAAAAATCTCCATAACTGTAATTTTTGCATCAAAAAATACTAATTTAGAACATTTTCTCCTGTCAATCAACTAATTGTTTCAGCTCTAGTTGTTTTATTTGGTGAAACATCCCCATGTTTACTTTGAGGCCTCTCTTATCGGTCTTATCTCTATACTCTCTCCTGTTTTCTCTTTCTTGTGCATTCAACCAACCCACACCCGTTCTAAGGGGGAGGAGAACCTGTTAATTCCAGTTCATGCTTACCCTGTCATCGATGACCTGCGCATCCCTCCTCACATCGACCTGTCAGCCGTGCCACTTGGAACCAGGTGTGTGCGTACGCCGTACAGTTTGTGTGTTAGGATCTTCATCGGACTGTTTCCTGACCTCCCATCTGCCCCCGGGCTGGCCTGTCTCTTCCTATTCTTCCATACAGCTGCCCATGCTTCCATTCACCCTTTGGTGTCAGATCATAACAAAAATATCCTCGTCTCTTTTGTTCCCCACCTGTCTCTAGTGTTTGCCAGGCTATTCCTCTGAGATGCAGCTGCCCCATCGACTTTGAGTTCCAGGTGCAAGTTATCCAGCCCCACGAGGCCTTCTCCATCCAGCCCCTCACAGGTAGGGACTTATCAAATCTATATACCTTCTATGGCAGATGTTCCCTCACTGTGTTAAGCGTATACAGATGACTGAAAGTTAGCCTTGGTATAAAAGTGATATACATATTTGCAGATTTCAAGACTATATAAAAAAATGAATCTATGAAGCTATTTTTCTATCATTACAATTCATACGAAAACCTTTTAAAGAATAATTTACACCCTTTTTTTTGTCTTTTAAGGCAAATAATATGGCTTTCTGCATGTTTCCCCTTTATCTAGCAGGGAATGTGGATCTGTGGTTCTCATGTAGCACACAGCACACCAGCCATTGTAAAGCAGGTGTGCTGTGTTCTCTCAGACCTTGGACTGGTTGTGTATTAAACAAGTCGCCACAGAGTTTGAAGGATGCTTGTAGTTTCCACACAACGACACGAAGCAGTATTGAAGGTCTGGGAAGCATCATAACACACGGCGGAAAGCAGCACTTAGGATTTGAAATACAGCTGGAGGTTTACCTAAGTACAAACCTGGAATGAGAATAAGGGATACAAATGAGTTTCTTATTTTGGAAGTCCTTTTTTTGTCCTCTCTCCCCTCTACACACAATAAACCATAACCATGATACATCACTTACAGCCTAAGTACATGCAGTACAAAGCGTGAACCCATTATGTTTAGCTAACTATCTGCTATCCAGCACACTCTGAATGGCAACAGGTTGTGTTCATGTGTTATGAAAGTGAGTGTCACGAGCACCCCTGGCTAATCCCTATTGTGTTTCCTTTGCTCCTCCAGGTGTGATACCAGCCAATGGAGAAGAGAATATCATGGTGACCTTCAGTCCTTTCCAATACGAGACGTGTCAGCTCACCTTCCAGCTGATCATCTCTCAGTTCAACAGCAGACCCTTCCTCTGCACCATCAGTGGGAGCTGCACCCCTCACTTGGCCCTCAGGTAAAAGCAGCCGTAGGTCTTCATTTGTCAAATTGCTTAACACTATACAACGAATAAATGGTACACAAAACCGATTTGAGGTGTTCTTCATGGTTTCCCCACCGCACTACATTGATGGGACAGTATCTCCTTAATTACAAAAATAGGTATTCTTAGATGTGGAGTTATTTATAAATCTAGATATGTTTTCGGAGTTGCAGAGTGTTGTACTCATTAGCTGTAGATATGACTGCCTTCCCTACGACGTAACATACCGTGCAGTGATACAGTTAAGAGGTAAGAGGATCAAAAATGCATCTTTGAATTTTTTGGTGAACTTTCCCTTTAAAGGCACACACGGATATTTACATCAGCTGAACAGGATCCAGCAGAATGTATGTGTTTAAGGGGTGGTAATGTGTTTCATGTTAGCTATCATATGTGACTGTGACATTTCATACTCCAACTGTTGAGTCATACTCCAACTGTTGAGTTCACACCCCTCTCCTGGGTTTTATCTTCAAGTACAATCAGACAAACCTGTTTGACAGAACTTCAGCAACACCACTTATTTGTTCTATATAACAGTATAGAAATATGTCATGTCCTCTGTTCTTCCCCATGGAGCTTCATTTAGTCTGGATGAGCATCACAAATCCTGACTGATAGTATAAAAATGATTAGATGGAGCCTTTTCGTTCTCCTCACGCTTTCCAGTAATGACCACAGCTTTCAGGTCGTTCGTGCAAGTAATTACTAAACTAGCTGGTCCATTTAGAGTCAGAGAAAATGGGCTTGTGTGCTGATTACAACTTCCCATTAGTTGTTTTTTTCCAGCCAGTGTAGAACCTAATGTTTAACTGTGTTCCCATGAGAAAGATGGTGCCATCCATCACACAGCGGCGGCTCCATCCAGCGCACTGTCTTGGTGTTATCTCGGCCGAAAGTTAATAATTCATGAAAATAGCTTGGTAGCTGCTGCAGTGATATCGAGATGGATATGCCTCCCGATGAATGTTTAGCGTATAAAACATTCTCCCTCTGTTTGTTGTTCTCCGCCGTGGAACTAATAAAAGATATTTGCAATTTAAAGATTAAAATAATAATTGCAAGAGCCAGTGTTTTTCCAGCTAGAACCAAACGCTCGCTGCTTAGTGTTGCTGCCCGGCTTATCTTGTGTACGTTAAACACATGATGATTTTAATCCCTCAAATCACTATGCTGCATCAACCTAATCAATCTTATGTCCTGCAATAAACGCTTAAATAAATGTAGTAAATCTTTGTGACGTGTTAAATGTGAAGCTTTGTTGACACTGTTTCAGAGAAGTGTCAAATCAGCCATTGAACACCGGTCATAGATACTGCTGAGTGTGTCTTTCTAATTAATATCCGCCACCACAAAAAATGACAGCTGGAGAAATTTAAATATAATGAAAATGAATCATCTGGCTTCTGACCTCGTTGCTCAGCCTCCCTGCCGTCCCGCACTGCCCATATATCATCGTATGAACACCCAATTTAGAGCCGTTCTCTCTGCTACGAGAACAGATCCTGGACTTCTAAACAAAAATGAACCAATTACCGTGCCGCCGCCACCACCTCTCCACTCTTTAGATTTCCTCCTTCCACTATTTGTTCATTCAGATGTTCCTACGAGCAACCTCAAATTAGCAGCAAACATGCCGCTTGCATTCAAATCCGTGTTCTCTATTCATGAATCTGTTCTCGCCCCTTACTAATGTGTGCAATTCCAACATAATTCAAATGTTACTTCATTTGGCGTCCTTTTGCGTTCTCTTTTCTCTGCATGATAGTGAGTTGGGAAAGAAGGCGGGTCATGGGGATGCAGTTCGATACACAGGACCTTCACCTGTCACTCAAGTGCCCCGTCAAAGTAAAACCAAACTCAGGTCGACTAAGGAGGCTGACAAATCAAAGGTAGTGTGTGTGTTTAACTATTCACTTTGTTTGAATGTGGAAGGACATTAAGGGGTTAATTCATTCATTTTATATGAAAAATGTAAGCACAATGTGAGATGTGTTTAGTTATGTGACTAACTCTATTAATTTAGTTTAGATAAGGAGACAGAATCCCCAATATCAGACTGGGAAGATGTTTAGTTTTGGTTCCTCCTTTGTCCTATCTAATAATGAATCATTCATCAGAGCGAAACAAACCATTCTCTCTTACTTTTGTGTACTGCTGATCCTTTCTGGCTGTGGCATGTTACCTTTCATTTCATGCTGTTTGTTAGACACTGAGAGACCAAGCGAGTGTTCAGGCTGGACTGAAGCCTCCGGTAGATGTCTGCACTCCTGCAGGCGTGGCAAAGATGCTGATCAAAGACACTGATAAACTCAGCTCTAAAGACCTGAAGGAAGGTGCATGAAACCCGATGATTGTAATCTGTTAGACATTTCCTCTCAGAAAAGCTGTATTATGGTCCTCTAATATTCTGCCTTTGCACAGTATGGTGAAGCAGGTCAATTGCATGACAGAAAATACACATATAACAAAGTATGTGTCTCTTATTTGACTGGTTGTCCCTTCACTTCAGCCATATCGTGTGGCAGCATGGCTGGTCTGCACAACAGGCAGATGAAGGAAGCCCTCTTCAGGAAGAAGGTTCAACAACACGTGAAGGAGGAGCAGGCCAACCGCGTCAGATGGTGAATACATTGATATTTTAATGGACCTATCATGCTATATTTGAATACTATAGTGTAG